AAGAACCTAGTTGGATGAAGGTTAACAGGAAGATCCAGCAGCCAGTGGGTAATACAATGCACACTCAACCACTTTGCAAAATGTATGACTCTGAATATTTACAGAGTAAACAAGACAAAAGAAATCATCACTTTATGAGAGCATACCACACGCCGCTGTAACACATGTAGACCAAGATCATTCAGATCCATATCAGCATTCACCAAGTCCATATACTATGAAAATTAATTAACATCTTTTAATATATATAAAACATACACCAAAATAACTCAAACCTTAATTATTAAACTTACAGTTTAAAAACGGTATAGTGGATAACAATTCGCCGCCTAGAACTTATTTTAGAAGTCTTCAAAAATTTTGTTGCGCTATAATTTTTTCTTCCTTAGAAAACAGTGGAAAAATACTCCCTTTGTTTTTATGTTATATATTTAAAGTTTTTGCTTACGAATCGGCATAATATAAAATACTCCTTCCTCTAAAATATCATTTATTATTTTTTAGAATACGGTCAACCAATAATAAAATAATCGTCAAAATCAATAAAAAATACTAGTAATTTTACACTGAAGTTGAAAATATCATATAGATATTGAAAAAAAAAAATCTTTTAATTTATTGTCAAAAAATTGCTTTTCAAATATCAAATAATAAAAACTGAGGGAGTATGGGTAGAGTTTCATTGGATGTTCTAAGAGGATTAGAGAAGCTATGTTTTGGGTAAGTTGTGATTGGTCATATAGATGCTGGTGTAATTAATTGGAACTTAAAAGATCAATTGACGGAAGAAGGCTTGATAGATTGAAATCATGTGTTTATGGTGAATTGTGTGTTCAACGTATTCTATTAATAACAAAAACTTGGAAAAATGCATGCAAAAAACTATCCTTCACACTACTTACTTTAAACGTTGAACACACATTCTAACAAGCAACGTATTCTAGATTTACGAAGTCATTTTCCTCTCTTTAAAACTTAAGATTTACCAAGTTGCATAACTTAATTTTCTAGTAACTTTATACTATATAACAAGAGATTTAATTTGTCTTTTGGTTAGCCAATCAAGTTAACCTTCAAGTCCTTAATTTCTAAGTCTTATCTTCCCTCCGTCTCTATTTAAATTCCTCCCACACTCTCTCTTTTGTTCAACATGACAACATTCACAAAGAGAAGAAAAGAAGGAAGTAGAAAAAATGGCGGAATCGACAAAGCAACACATCGATCTAATCCGGGAGACTAAGTTCTCAATTGGCAGAGCTTATAATCCTTTGACGGAGGATCTTCATCAGGCTGTGAAGAATCTCTCCGCTGAGCTCTAGTCCAAGGATGTTCACTTCCTCATGGAACTTATCCAAGTAAGTATATATCTCTTTAACCCACATTTATCTTTGTTTTTATGTGCATATACTATTTGTGAGTCCGTGTTTTCCTCTATAATGTTTGGTTAGATATGTTTGCATGTGAATATATACGTGTAGTTGAGTTTCTGATGTTCTTTATGCAAGTCTAATATTCGAGACCATATATATCCTCTACAGTCAGTAGATATCAAAAACAAGGAATCAAGCTGATCTTAATTATGGAAAATGTTATGCTTGTTATGCTTGTTATGCTTGGTTTCATGTACTCCAGCGTTTTCATATGTGTTTCCAATCATAATCATGTTTGCTCTTAGCACCGCAATTGCAACCTTGGCTACATTGTTCCTGAGTGGGTTGAGAAACGTCCTTCTCTGGTCGATATTCAAAAGATTAATGGTTTTGGTTCTGCTATTCCGACCACAACAATAATCATGCCTTTGAAAAGTGACAAAGTAAAGCCAGTGAAAGAACAACTCTCCAATGTTCATCCTGAGGTTCTGTTGTTTCTTTCAAAGATCAAGCGCCTCTCTATCAAAGATCCACTACCAAGATAAGGTCAGCATTGTTAACTCACACGGGATTGTTAGCGAGACTAATTTGGTGTCAAGGAAGAGCATTGATGCTGAGTCGTACATGATACATCTCTCAGCTTGTGGAAAAACATTCAGTTAGTTACTACATGTGGAGGCAAAAGTTAACGGTGAAAAATGAGAACCGTGTGGGAAGGAGAGGCGAAGTTGAGGAATTGTTGACAACGTTGGTGTTTCTACTCGGAGACCGTCTTGCCCTTGGAGATAGCTTTCCTCCTAGTATCTATGCGTTTCTTCCCACCGAGATGGTAACTAACTTTCCATTCATCATACAAGGAGATTTTATCCTTGCATCGTCTAGATGATATGTGGAACCAAGGGATTCTCAGCTGTGTTCCTTCTGCATTTGTGAATGCATTCACTTCTTTAGTGAAAAAGACAGATGCTTTTAGTTTCTTGCCTGTGAAGGTATCTAACTACGAAGAGTTGAATGATGTCCGAGAATCTATTATGGCAAGGGTTTTGGCAGAGGGAAATGTGCCTAGCAGACTTTGAATTCAACCTCTTGAATTTCGTTTGGACTTTGGATCATTAAGTCATATTCTCTTTGGTTTGGCTTTTTTCTTTTTCTTTTCTTGTAAGTGATTTTCTAACCGTCGAACTATTCAATATTTTGTTATATTCCTAGGAAAATAATTTAATCTTTCTCTTTGAAGACATGTATCTTCCTTTGTAGTCTAGCTTTGTACTATGGCTCCAGTTTCCTTGATTAATAAGAATTATTCAGTACTAGATGAGTAGCCGCACTACGTGCGGGTTTATGTATTACTATTTACAAATTGTTTTATAGAATGTCTATTCATATAAAGTAAAGTTGAATGCATCGATTTTGAAACATAAATATGCTTTCTAATTGTTTTTGAAAAGTCCAACTATATTAGTTCATCTGAAAACCGAATGTGTTTGAGTTGTTTTTTATTGTTGTTTTAGATTTTCAGTTTTTTTAAAATTTATATATCCTTGTTGTTTTGGTTATATGTTTAGATTGTGAGACGGTGAAATTTTAGAAAATTTATTTCTTACACTAAAAATATAACATGTCTTTATTAACCATGTTTCTTCATATTCAATCTAAGCATATTCAACTTGATGTTTTTGGAAAGTTTAGTTAAGTTCTTGTCATAATCTTATATCTTACGTATTAGGTATAAGAATAGCTCCTCAAACATCTTTCAAATTACTTGTTTTCTTAGCATAAATCTCGAAAAGCTTAGATATATTTAATCTGCATATTCATTTAGTTTCTTTCATAATAATCGTCTAATGTTTAGGCAAGGAATATGTGTACCATGTTAGGATTTTATGATCACTTTAGCCACTTAAGTGGATCTTAAAATAAAAAGAGGATATATTGAATTAAAATATGTAGAAAGAGTGATGGTTCAAGTTCTGATTAATTGTATCCTCCTATTTTAGTTGTTATGTTGAATTAATTACTAATTATGTATTACTTTTTATGAAGTCTAGGTGGCAAGCTTTCATGTGCTGATGTGTCAAGTTGTGGGAGAGAGTTAGCCTTCTTTCATATATATGATTTAGAAAAAGATGGTTCTAATTGTCCGAAACTTTTAAGAGAAGTTTTTGAAATTTTTTGATAGTAACACCTATTTTCAAATATAAGCATAATTTGATAGTAGTAAAGAAAACTGAATATGATAAAAGGGGAGAAAATGGCACTTTCTTCTAGAGCTGTACGGCTTAGTTTTCTCTCTCTCAGGCTTAATTTAGAGCTTGATGGTTACAAAGGGTCAACGTCCGGTCTATAATAAGCTAAAACGTCTTAAATCTCAATATTGGCCCATACCATAGTCTTTTTTTAAGAAGGCCGGGTTTTGTTTTCTTAAATGTTATTTCCAAATTATCCTCTCATTTGCAAATATTATAACATCATTAGATATACACACTACCATTTTCGTAGAGGTGTGATTTTTTCGGTATCCTAGAAATTCTGAAAATTATGATTTGTTTTTGGTCAGGAACGAGAACAAACTGAAGCAATCCTTTCTTCTTTGCTTGGTCTTAAATGTTTTCTACGTCTTCTTTTATACATATATACTGTTTTCTTATTCTTCTTCCATTTTTTTGGGGTCATGTGAGTTTGGGATGTCATAAGCACAAACGAAAACGGGTCAGCCCAACATGTATGTTGTCAACACGTGTGAGATTCCTATTCCAGTAATCGGGTTTACTCATTGATCGGACCAACACGAAGGCAAATACAATGAAAAATGGCCGACCAAAAAAGAAAAGTAAGAACAACAGAAAGCAAGACAAACAAGAAAAGAAAAAGCCAATATCTAGCCAAGCATAAAGATACTTTAGATACTTCTATCCGTTAGATATTTTGATGTGAATTTTGGTTATGTTAAATATGCTAGAATTTTCAAAAAACTTTGCATCGTAATCTACAAAAACAACTACATTATCTTGGAATGAAATCTCAAAATAGTGTAAAAAACATTAAACCTTTGATCAACCACTAGATCAAAGTGGTTGCTGTTATATAAGCTATGCTTATATTATCTCTTACAACTGCAACCGCAAAATTAAAAATTTCTCAAAATATATTTGCATTCAAGCTATGACTTCGTTTTTTCTTTTTCAATACCTATATGTAAAGGAAAAAAAAAATATTTCTCATACGTCTCTTTTGTCAATAGGAGCAATGGGATCAAAGGTTTAGCACGACAAAAACCCCTAGAAAATGTTATCAAATCAAGGATGTTCAAGCGATCGCAACAATGATTTCTTCCGTACTATGTGTATAATGTATATATAATTCATCCAACTTCTCGATAGATGAAGATACACTAGCTTCTCCTACTTATGTTAGTTGAGGGCATCTCAAAAAAGATTCATAAATAAAATTAATCTTTGCGAGGCTTTTTGTGGATTCGAAATCCACATATTATGGTGTGGTCATAGGTTTAGCGCGACTAAAACCAAAAAAATGTTATCAAATCAAGAATGTTTAAGCGATCGCAATATTGATTGCTTCTATACCATGTATAATTAGGGGTGTCAAAATAGGTAAACCCAACTCAACTCAATTCATAATCAAATGAGTTTAGGTTAAATGAGTTATAGGTTGACCAACCCATTTAACCCATTTTGTTAAATGGGTTGGTCAACCTATAACTCATTTAATTTGATGGGTTGAATTGTTAAATAGGTTAACTCACTTAAGTAATAATTTAATTAATTATTATTATGAAACAATAATAAATAATTATCATTATTAATAATTATTATTTCATTATCATCAAACTTAGAATATTTACGGATTCCACTTTTTATGGATTTACGTTTTCGGCGAGAAAATTACGGATTTACGTTTTTGGCGGGAAAATCACAGGTTTACGTTTTTGGCGAGAAAATCACAGGTTTACAGGTTTACGTTTTTGGCGGGAAAATCATGGGTTTACGTTTTTTGGCGGGAAAATTATGGGTATACGTTTCTGCGGGAAAATCACGGGTTTACATTTTTTTGACGGAAAAATTATGGGTTTACGTTTTTGGCGGGAAAATCACGGGTTTACGTTTTTGGCGGGAAAATTACGGTTTACGTTTTTGGCGGGAAAATCACGGGTTTACGTTTTTGGCGGGAAAATCACAGGTTTATAGGTTTAAGTTTTTGGCGGGAAAATTACGGGTATACGTTTCTGCAGGAAAATCACGGGTTAACGTTTTTGGCGGAAAAATTACGGGTTTACGTTTTTGGCGGGAAAATCACGGGTTTACGTTTTTGGTGGGAAAATCACAGGTTTTGGTTTTTGGCGGGAAAATTACGAGTTTACGTTTTTGGCAGGAAAATCACAGGTTTATGTTTTTGGCGGGAAAATCACAGGTTTTGGTTTTTGGCGGGAAAATCACAGGTTTTGGTTTTTGGCGGGAAAATTACGAGTTTACGTTTTTGGCAGGAAAATCACGGGTTTACGTTTTTGGCGGGAAAATCACAGGTTTTGGTTTTTGGCGGGAAAATTACGAATTTACGTTTTTGGCGGAAAAATCACGGGTTTATGTTTTTTGGTGGAAAAATTACGAGTTTACTTTTTCTCAATTTCATCACTTGTATATTTAAGAAATTTGGAAAAATATTTATTTTATTAAATTGGTTTAGATGTGTTGGTTAAGCTTAAATTGGTATTGGTTTAGATTTTAGTTGGTTTCATTCAATTTTACAAAACTTGATAGGTTAATTGGGTAAACCATTGAAACCATTAACCATTACAACCCAATTCATTTGACTCATCAAACCAATTGACCAAATAACTCATTTGACCCATCAACTCATTTGAGTCAAAAATTTTAACTCATTAGAGTTCATGGGTTGAGTTGAGTTGAGTTGACCCATGAATTTTGATCCATTTTGACACCCCTATATATAATGTATATAATCCTCCAACTTCTCCATAGGTGATGGATACACACTAGCTTCTCCTACTTATATTAGTCGGGACATCTCCAAAAGATTCATACATAAAAGTAATCTTTGTGAGGCTTTTTGTGGACTCGACATCCATATATCATGTTCTGATTGGTTTGTAAATAGAATTTACGCTCAAAGAAACCAAAATTAACCATGATACGTAATATATGCTTACGTACCAATGTCTTGACCGATGCTAAAAAAAATACTTTATTGATAAGTAATTTGAAGATTACACTTCTTCGAATTACAATCATTTCTTAATCTGATTATATTTCTTGCTTCCCAATCATTTCTTTTCATCATACACATAGAGTAGTTTATAGTAGTCAATTGCATAATTCTCTTTTATTTCATTAGGAGCGAGGACTAAAATGCTTTAAAAATGGTAATAACTAGACGTCTAGTAGTTTTGAAAGTGAGTGCAAGATCACTAGTTCAACTCTATTAATTCGGGAGGATTGATTAACGTCTTAGTTAAACGTTAGATTATCAACACTTAGTTCGGATATCAGAAAAAAATAACAATTGGAAGATATAAATAAATATTGTTAAGATTTTGGATATATAACGTGGTGAATTCAACATCCTGGGTGGGACTTTCTTTGTTTGAATAGTATATAGTATCACATGATGCAATTATTCAAACTTTATGTCTACTTTTGTTTGTAAGAGAGATACCGCAAAGCTTTTGCTTTCTTTAATTAGACAATTTTTTTATATGGACGGTTTGGAATTGTTCCTTGTTAGGATTCAATTCTATCGTGTTCGGTACAAAATTTATAAAGTAATATGTTTTTTTGAGCCAAAATAATAGAATAAAACATTACAATTGCAGTAATGGATAACAACCGATTGTGGATTGATGTTTTCTTGTTTTGGTCTTTTCATATTACTATTTGGAACTTGAAACGTTCATGCATGTGGATTTGGACTGTTTGGTTTACTCCGATATTAGTTTCACTGTGCCCAAATATTTTGGTCTCACTATCAAATTTAAATCCCATATAATATACACAACAACGATATTAAAACTGATTTGAAATATGAGCATTACCATGACAAACAAATTAATCGCCTGGTAAATCTCAAAAATCAGTTTGGTACTTCGCTTGGCAAGTCATATTAATAATTAATCAAAATGTGGGTTTAATAACTCTCTCATTTGTAGTAAAAGAAAAGTAGCTCTGCTTTATTTTTATGTCAACAATATATAGCTCTTCTCAAAAAAACAATGTTAGCATTTTAAGAAATAATTATTTGTTCTAGGCACGTAGAATGATTATTTCATTGTTGTGAAATGCCTTATGTGTAAACCACTTATTGGTTCGCATTTTGGATTCTTTGTTTACAATAAATTTTGCCTTCAAGGTTTTTTTCCTTCTTAACAAAAAAAAGCACTTAGAATGAAACCCTGATTACAATTTAGTCTTTGAAATAGGTTAGCTAATAGTCAAGCTAGATGTAGATATCCTATATAATATAATAATATTTCCAAAAGATGTAACCATCCTATATGATGAATTACCTTCTTATTTTGTTAGGTAAAACGTATTAAAATTAATTAATTGAAATCTATAGTGTATAAATTAAAGTTATATCTATATAGAACATTAATAAGCTATCATATCTAATCTATCTATCTATACAAGAAAAGCTTTCGATTATTATCAACTTTAGCATACTATATATATATACATCTACTATATGAAATTTAGGTCGACACATTTCTTCTTAGATAAATCAGCTTAGATCATTGGTTTTTTTACAAAACTTTTCATATCTTCTATATACATCTTTACTGGTGAAAAAAATATCAAGATAGTGAATTCAGTAATCAAAATACGATAGATTATTACTACTATATATTATGCAGTTGAACTTTACTTTATTACAAATTCATCATAAATCTTAAACTACATCAACAACATTGTTCAGTAGTCGTTTTTGGTTATGGGTTATAATATTTTATTGTTTAAAAGTAAAAAAAAAATCATGGTGGTTGGACTTGTTGGTTTGACCATTATAGTGTGTGTGACATTTTGTCAAGCAATCACCCTAGAGAAGAAAGCTTTATACACGAGATTTTTGGTTTCCAATTCCATTTCGAGAGTATTTTTATGCCTCGAATAAATTTTTGTACTAGAAGACAATTAATATAGGGTTAAAAAATTCATCACTATAGTAATAGATAAGTTAGTATAATAATCATAATTTGCCAAACGAATATTAATGACGTTGTGATGTGGTGAAGAGAGAGCATTAATGATGCACAAACCAAAGCACATCACTTTGAAGAATAATAAGTGCATGCATGAAATAATTGGGTAAAGAAACATTTTTTAATATATTTTTTTTATATATTCTATCGGTTGATCCGATTAGGTTTGGTAAAAATGTATTAAAGTACTATAAAGTTGACTATTTCCGATCTAAGTAGAATTAGGTTACCACACTGCCTAATCCGAGTTCAAAATACTTTTAAACTAATATTCAGAAGATAATTATGATACTGTATTTCTGACTATCAAGTACTAACAAATTTATTTTTGTTTGGTAAAAGAACATTTTTTATATAGAATTTGAAATGCTCACTAATAGAAAACCTAGTTCGATATCTATATGTCTCTACTCTTAAAAACTCACTAAATGTTCACATATCAAACCATGATCACATCTCATGCTGACGTAATACTTAACTTCTAAAAAATATTCCATTCTAAAAATGACTAGACTAAATCTGCTAAGTGTTTTTAGAAATCCGTTGTAAAACAATTTTTTGGTGTTAAATAAATTTTACATTCAATACAAGAAAAAAAAATTCGTAGAATAAATTTATAAACTTTTGGTATAAACTTTTAAAAATGTTCTTAGAATAAATTAATAAACTTTTGGCATAAACTTTTAAAAATGTTTTTAAAAAGCCAATCGTTTAACTTTTTTTGTATTCCTTTGATAAACTTTTTTTTGGTTACAAATTTTCATTTGATAAACTTTTGGACCAAATGCTTTTGTTTGATGTTCGTTTGCTGACTTTCGCATATTTGTTCTCAACTTAGTGGTTCCACGGAGATGACGATCTGCCCCCAACATATACAAACATATATAGTGAAATATTTTAGTAAGTAAAATTTAGAATTTGATACTATGATCCATTGTCGTAAATTGTAAATAATTTAATTGTTTTAAATTTTTTAAACACCCATAGAGTAAAAAGTGAATGTAAATAGATTTCTTTTTGGTAATCCAACTATATAATATTTTGTTATTATATTTTTTTACAACAGACAGATTCTTGACCGAAACCAAAAATAATTTGTCTAGTATGTGAAACAGACTTTTACTATTTGAAATATGCATAGTAGAAAACAATTATTGAAATCACATTAGAAATATTCGAACCATTATGAAACGATTTTTCATAATAATTTTGATCAACAACATAAATGTTTAACTGAAAGACTAGCTAGCTATGTGAATAGATTAGTATTTTAAATTTTTAATAGTATAACTTTCTTATTTCAATCTTGTTTTTGGAAGAAAAAAACATCCTTTTCACCATGTAATATCTCAGTAAAACTAATTTTGTATCTTAATAAACAATTGATCTAGTTGTTGGTATACCTTACTCATATCACTACGAAAATACTTATTCTATATTCAAATTCAAAGCTAAAAATAAAAATCTATTTGACAAAAAACAATTTAGGTAAAGTGCACCGGCCGGGAAGCAAATATATTATTGCGA